ATTCTTTACCAAGAAACAGTTGTACTCGAAGCTTCATGTACTTGCTTTGCAAGAGAAGTTCCAATTCCGGGTAAGCAGGTCAACCTTGAAAATGTTAGCAGTTGTCTGTGTGGATGATAATTGCAAGTGGATGCTACGTGTTTCTACTGTCAAGCAATCTGCAATCTTCATGATCCGTAAGTTCGTTGCAATTCACACATGTTCCCTTGATTTTCGTCGTAACGCACATCGGCATGCCACTAGTGCTGTAATTGCGGAGCATATTTTGGGAAAATTGGATACTCCATACCGATCATATCCGCCTACTCATATTGCACGTGATATGGAACGTGAGTTTGGTGTGAAAATCAGTTATAACAAAGCACGTAGGGGGAAGCTCCATGCCTTAAATATGCTACATGGTACACCAAGGGACAGTTTTCAGAAATTATCTTCGTACTGTCACGTCGTAGGAGAAAGTAATCCGGGGACCATTACCCACATCAAAGTTGATTCTTGTAATAGGTTTCGTTACTTCTTCGTAGCTTTTGGTGTAAGCATTCGTGGATACATGCAGTACTTAAGACCCGTTATTTGTGTTGATGGCAGTCACTTGAAAGGTCCATACAAAGGTACACTCCTAGTGGCAACTGCCCAAGATGGTAACAAACAGATTTATCTGTTGGCATGGGTGATCGTGGATGCTGAACCCAATAAATCGTGGAAGTGGTTTTTGTCGAACTTGAAAGACCTTATAGGGGATTCCGAAGAACTCGTGTTCATTTCAGACAGGAAAAAGAGTATTCAGAAAGCTATTTCTCAGTTGTTTCCGTCGTCTCGGCATGGTTGTTGTATATGGCATATGGAAAAGAACCTAATACAGCGGTATAACAACGCAAGCCTATTATTTCTATTCAAACGAGCTGCTACAACTTTTCGGGTCGAGGACTTCGAACGTCTCATGGGACAGATTCGTAGAGTGAGCGAAAGAGCGCACGGGTACTTAGAGTGAGCGGGATATTCATTTTGGTCCTGAGCACTATTTATTGGACACCGTTACAATATTATGACAAACAACAATGCAGAGTCGTTAAACTCGATGTTAAGAGAAGCCCGGTCGTTACCGATAACCTGCTTGGTTGAACACATTCGGAGTACTATGCAGAAGTGGTTTTACGAACGTCGAGCAAATGTGGAAGAATGCAGTAACTTATTGACACCAAGGATGGAGAACGAGCTACGGACGACTTTCGAAAATGGAACTAGGCTTCAAGCCCATGTCCTGACAAACAACTTGACGCAGGTTGGAATATCCAACGACACGGACATAGTTGACTTGTCCGAAGAAACCTGCACATGTCGTGAGTTCCAACTAAACCGTATGCCATGTGTTCATGCAAGTCGTGCTGCTTGCTTTAGAGGGAAGACATTGTACGAGCTTTGCTCCCGTTATTATTCATCGGACTACTGGAAGGGTGCCTACAGCGAAACTATATATCCTGTTCCGAGGGAAGTGGATTGGGTTGTTCCGAGCTTAATTACATGTACTCCTATTTTCCCACCACTCGTACGTCGTCCTCCAGATAGACTACCAACCCGTCGTAAGCGTTCTAGGTATGAGTATTCATGGTCTACCAGAAAATGTACTCGCTGTGGTAGAGTTGGTCATAATCGGACCACGTGTTCAAACCCCCGTGTATCACATGCTCCTTAAAGATTTGCAGGTTAATAGACGTTGTATGTTAATTATTCCATACTACATCGAACATTATGAAGTTATGATTTACAGTTTGTGATCATTAATGTTCTTGCATGTTGCGCATCCTGTTTGCACATAAAAATTTCACTCTCTGTCCTGCACATAGTAAACATCCCGCCCAGTTCAAATGTCGGTCCCGATAGATGTGTTACTTATTCTCGACAAGTTGACGGAACCTTGCACTGCACTCACGGTCTGCGTCACACATACATGTTG